GTGTTCTTTGTGCAGGCAGGACAAATGTTTGTGACAGGGACAGAAAGAGACAGACTCTTCTCTCACCTTATTTGTGGACTTTGCCGATCGTATGAGTATAAGTCTTTGCTTCTTCGTGAAGGGGCTCTTTAATTCATGACATTTGTCATAGTTTTCCAGGTCAAGCCTCTCCAAGCAGTTCTGTAGGTCCTGCAACACAAATGACTGATATTTGAAAATTTGTCTGTATAATTTAAGGATTTATCTTATCAACAAGCAAGAGAGAAATTAGACCATCTACTTGATTATCTGATGTTAAATAAAAGTTAACAGCTGCAAGACTACAAGAATTAAATGGCAATATTGATATAAGTTCATATTCTCACACCCGATGTATTGAAACTTTATATACCTCATTTTCATACACCACAATCTCGGTCTTCTCCACCTGGATGTAGCGGTCTTTATAGCTTGCCAGCAGTCTGCCATAGCCCTTCTTCAACCAGCCGGCCTTGCTCAGGAACTTAGGCTCTTTCTTGAGGGCTGGGTCTTCTTTTGCACCCTGTATTGATACAGAGGAAGGAAGTCACACTCACTACACACCAGCATACTTGCAGGATGCAGAGAATTATATTCACTTTCATTTTATCGCTGCTCTAAATGACAGTCGTACAATATACCTGTACAGGAAAAGAACAGAGGTGTTGATGCTCTTCTGCACATTTTCACCAACGTGGAATCCGAAATGATGAACAACTAAAGTGATTTATCAGCATGAGCACATATTAAAGGTTATATCAAGTAGTGTTACTGTCATTTGTCACCCACAGCCCACAGAAACTGTCAAGATACTGAAGCCTGGATGTGTCAATGTGATAAAAGTGCTGTTTCTCCTCTGCGTCATCTATTCTGTCACTAGTTAGTAAACATAAACTAATATGTCTATCAGCTGCAACCAACCAATCACATGGCGTCACGTTCAATGACAGAAGATGGCTCTAAACGTGTTTTTAAAACTTTATCTACTTATTTCTTAAATCCAACTTTTACATCTATGTCGGTTTTTGAGAGCAGGGCTCTCCTGATATATCAGCGCCTATGTGGTGATGTCATCTGAGTTAGGAGTGGGGGAAAAATGGATACTGTGTAGCATGGTGATATTTTGTTTGCTAATAATGTATGGATACAGGGACAGCAGAAATCGATA